TCAAGATAATGTATCTCTCATCTTCACATTCTGAATGGGCGCCTTCGCAATCTGCCACGTGGGATTCCTAGATCAACATGTTCCGATACAAGAATTCAGACTTGGTGCATTATTCACCAGACAAATACAACACTCTTTTGTGGGCCACCAAGTAACATGAGCCAGTAAAACAAAAAAGGATGATCATATTTGTGTGTGCATTCGTGTGTATGTACAATATTGCAAGGGATGCATACAAATTTCAACCATTTCGCTAATATGATCTGAATTTGAGCAAAGAACACAACACTGCAAACGAGCACAGTTTAATTCCGGAATCCGTTAGCTGCATCTCAACTGGCACTTGCTGCAGAAGAAAATAGTTTATATATTACAGCTCATGCCAATCTAACATGGTATCAGTTCAGTCTTCCGCCTACGTGGTCACCAGGGCAACGCCAGACTGATGTAGACCTCCGTCTGCTGACACAGTAGGGGCCTTTGATGCTTGATTGCTATGGCCTCTGAAAATCTTAGCAGCCGTCCTTTCGGGGTTGTGTAAACAATATGGAACGAAGTGCCAAGATTAGCTTGGTGGCTAGTCTGCAGCAGATGATGAGCAATTGATGGCACAGGTGCTCTGTGAGACTGGCTTAATGGCCTCTTTGTTTGTGTAGCGTTCAATCTCACCCGCTCGCGTTCGACCCATACAGGTATGTGTTTAGCCTCTCGGGTACGCAGCTGCCTCGTTGTTCTGCCCACGTAGGTAGTTCCGCACACGCATTGACATTCATGGATTACATGCCATTTGGAGGGCAGAGGGAGCGGTGGCTTCGGAATCTGGGTTCTGGTGAAGCGAACAACCGGAGTTGCAGCAAAATACGTGCGAGCTACAGTCGGCACCAGCCGTCTTCGTATGAGTTCACCTACATCATCATCGCTGAAAGGGAGTCGAATGGTAACGTTGCATTTAAGTATTATCATCTCCGAGGGTTTGGGCTCAGCTTTTTCGCTGTACAATTGTATGAACTTTGATAGGTAACCACTGAGTTTCAGAGCCTCCGTGAGCCGGATCAACTCACTTTCCACATTATCCGAAGTGCACAGCCTCATTTGAATTGTCAATTAAATCAGAGACACTAACCACTTGACACTTTTTGTAACAAGTGTTATGTCATTCAAGCGGTTACGACTGGCCCTGGCAAATCCAGAGCTGTGATTGACTGCATTTGGAAAGCACATTATAAGGGCTTGTTTAACCGGATCCCGATTTTTTCACCAGCTGGCAGTGAACGATGTTCGACCCGCTTTCCTCACACTTCAATGATCGTGTAGTGGGTTTAAACGATTCACTCATTCGACAAGAGGTTCTGTTTCGACCAAGTGAATGGTGAATGCTGTCCCCTTGGCTCTCATCAACCAGCGTGTAACTCAGCTGGGATGATGTACTTGAGTGCTTTCGGCCAAACGTTAGGTGGTACGGATAACCTAGACCTTTTCAAATCACGTTGTCTGGCCATCATTTCAAGCTGTCCGGATTAGATTTCAACGCAATGAGGACCGTCAAAATATACCATAAGATTTATGAAAGTTACGGAATTATATAAGAAGTTCCAAGTACACGAATGGGAAATGGGAATGGAACTTTTTCAAAAAGCACCTTTCAGAGCATTGGTTTGGAATCAGATAATCTGTCTCGTTGTCTCTCGTAGTCCTTTAAAAAACACTTGTTTTGTATTGTGTATAACTTTTGCAAGCACTGTAGCTAGTATTTCTGTCACATGAATTCAAACAAACGTATGACCTTCACAGCTGACATGAACTGGCTTCGAACAAAATTATGTTAAACCGTAGGACAGTATCGTTTAGATATTCAAACTCATTCGGATGGCTTTTGCAGTGCAACTTCGCTGCTTGTTTTCGATGGAGGATATCTCCCCCACGAATGACGAGAATAGTTAGGATAGCCCTTTCAACAAGGCACAATATGGACCTCGAAAGATGCTCAGCCTGGCACACCGTAGTAGGTCCCACGATGAAACTGTCCCATTGGATTATTCCAAAAGCGGTCAGTTATTCCATCCGGTCAAAGTTGTCCATTCTGGTTTGACTAAGACTTGTTTTCGTTTTTCGGCTCTCCATTCACACAAACTCTGCTCGTTAAAGTTTCAGTCATCTCTCACAGTGCACTTCGTCCCTCGTAATGAGATAGAGTGAAGTGCCGATTCCGCACAGTTTGTAGTGCTATGCTGAGAAAGTGCGTTTCACGTTTAGCAAACTTTTCTTTTACCAGAATTCGTTTGGTTCTTGACAGCTGTTGGCATAAGGCTTGTGATAAACTCGATGGAGGCGATTTATGTCGCCAAGCGTCAATGATCAATCCTTCAGTCTTCTTCAATTTCTTCGTCTGGTGTCGTTAAGTCAATATTCGCACATTGACTATGACAACTGCTCAAATGTGCTGGTGAATTGATAAATTGTATCACAATACTACGAAAAATGGAAGTAATTCTAAAGCACGTTTCCCGAGATAGACTTGAACACAACACTGCTATTGGATGCGATTCGATTCCGGAGTCATTTAACGGCATCTGATCTGACGCGTTTAGCAGAAAATGATAATTTATGTTATTACAAATATTGACTAGCTAAAACAATACACATTTACCTTTCGGTTGGTGTAATGAATGTGTTTTAAAAGTAATAATAACGACTTGGAGAACCGGTTCTCTGATACAGTCATCTCTGTTTTCATTGCATTCAATTCATGGGCATTTGATTCTTGTCTTTTTTGTCATCGATTTGTCCCAAGTTGTCGGTTTGTGATATCAAGTTATCGACTTTAGATTTTGGAATTGTTTCCGTGACACCTTAAGAGCCACCATGCTCAGATACTTTTCAAAACTGAGCTCTCTATAAACATACATACATACATATATACATACATACATACATACATACACACATACATACATACATACATGCATACATACATACATACATACATACATACATACATACATACATACATACATATATTATGTTCACATTGCTGCTTGTGTAAAGCGGTGGGTGACAAGCGTAGCTGATTTGCACAAACAGCTACATGTCAAAATAAAGCGATCGGCTTTCCTTACTAGCTGCACTAAAGCTTCTGGAGTGTGTGAATGTACCTGCGAGTTGCTATATACCGCTTGCACAATTGCATCGGATAGAAGTGTAAATGAACCGCAGCTGAAATTTCCACTCAGCAATATTTCCGGCTTAGTGAATCAGGGGCGCAACCTCTTGTTGACGCGCTAGGGGAGACGGTTTTGTCACCTGCCTCAGTCAGATATTCCCCGAATCCCATGGTACTTCTCGGTCATCCATCTTGCACATAAGCGTGCAGCTGCTCGCATGTGTGTGTGTGGGTTGTCTTTGTCCCGCTGAACAATCAGATATGGGCCATTTTGTGTTGGCACCATTGAATTCTGTGCAATCAATACACGTCTCAGTGTTATCTAGATTCATACCAGTGTCGTGTGCTGCCTAAGGATTATATTCCATTTCTCCATCACCACCAAAGAGACACCAATACGATTTCTACCCGTCATGTATTGAACAAGCAAATACTGTAACGGAATGAGATATATTTAACAAAACAACTACGTCCGGGATTGCGTAAAGAGAAAACCTATTGTGCATGATAGTTTGGCTGATTTTACCATTGTGAATAAAAGACAAGTTGGCTTGAATATTTTATTTGGAAAAGGATCACAAATCTGCTAATTATCTGCTAGATTCTGATTCACATGGTCATGTGATATGAAATTTTCTTTTTGTCACCAGTCTGGGAGTAATCACATGCATGTCAGTGTTTGCAGTGATTCCGATCAATGCAGTAAATTTTGCTGGCTGATAATTCTTTGTTTTTCCTTCTTATCACTAGTCACCTACAGCAAGTACTGTCCGAGTCACTTATCAGTTTTAGGTAGCATCTTGTCAATTCACTATACTCACACAATTTATTCATCTCAAAGATACAGTAAGCACAACCGCCTTCGTGCTCATGATTCTTTAACTATCTTTTCGAACTATACCCCCTGGTTTCGTTTGCTTCATCTTGGCTTATACACCCATTGTCATTGTCGGGTATTATTTTCGTTTCGTTGGGTGACTGCATAAGTTTCGAATTGTTTCCATCTTTCTAAACACCACCCAAATAAGCGATGACTAGCTTGGCTAACCGATCATCGCTGTTGCTTCAATATCAAAAAGAATCTTGTTATTTATTTTTTATTACGCACCAGTTTGTGTTGAACTGCAGACGGGACCAACCCATAGTCACCTAGACCTGCAGTTCAGAGGTGGTAAACGGCAACCTAAGCCCCGGGACTTGGAGTGGCAAACTACATAAGGCCCTAAGGTTACCTGTGGTATTGAACCGGACGACAGCAAAGCTACCTACTACAATTCTATCTCAGTCAAAACATTTCTAGGCTTTATTGTCCTCCGTTTCATCATAATTCAATCATACCTCGAGTGAATCATACCCCAAGTAGCAAAGAGCTTGTTACCTGCATATAAGTATAAACAAACGCTTAGATCCTTGTTTATCCAACTATGTATAAACTGTAGCTAATGACACAATTCTCTCGGTATAAGCCTCTTTGATTTACGCTGTTACAGAAAGCGCCATTTGGAACAATGTTGAACACTCATCTTGTTTTACGAAAACACAGTTGATCAGAACTTTTGGTTGCCTCCGGTACCACTGATGAAAGACCATTCACTGCATGGGTAAAGAACTGTTTTCATCGCGAACTAGCACTTTGGTGGGGGCAAATGACTCTTCTCTTCCTACTACTGGTGACCTTGGAAACATATTTGCCACAAAACCGTTAATCAAACAAGATATTAATACCCGTACCACAAAATTCTGTTCATCTTTACCTACGAATACACGTCATAAGTGCTGTCCCTTCATGGTACGGACGTAGAAACGACAATCTGTGGGAGCATAATTAATAAGCAAACTGCAATATTTCGGCCGAATAAACTTGATGTTGTTTCCGGTGTCTCTAAAATCATAGGGCTTAAAAACTATCGAAGGTAAGATGTGAAACCCAGATAATTATTGGAGGAACAAGAAAATATTAATGCAATCAAATCATTCGAATGTATCCTATCGGAATTGTTTACGCATTCGTTTCGGCAGTACATATAAAGGTGAGGGAAATGTTGTCAGCGTTTTAAGGTCAGTGCCATGGTTTTTCCACCCCCTTTTTGACTCAATGTTAGTCATTGTACCGCCGGTATATATACAAATTTGTACATTCCGTCGAGGTTGCACCAATCACGTATGTTAACTTTGCCAACGGACACACATCGAGCATACGCACGCACGCGTGCACAAAACATATCCGCAAGCACACGAATGTTTATAGACTGCTTTTACTGCCGAACTGTGGACGCAGTTGCACTTTATCGATTTCTCAAACACAATCGGACCCCATTTGTGTATTTTGGGTTATCCACGCCTCGCCGTGTGTCTGTCCGCGATCCACAGCTTCTGTGCCCAAAAGCTAGCGTAAAAGAAGAACCACGCAGGCAACTAGTGCACACGTGGCAATTACCTGTAACCGCTCTGACCAGATTCTATTTCTGTTGGAAGTATTGTTCAGGTGCTACCTGAACCAGCAGAACTATGTCCCATGGGCCGACAGCATAAAACGTCTTCTAGCAGAACAAATTCAACCGAAAAATCAAAACATCATCAAAACCAGTACTTCAAAAGTGGGAAGCACTCATCCAAAAAACCAGTAACCCTAACCACATCGAGCCCAAGTGTATCAGCCTCCAGACCGAACCCCACCATCACCGACCGAAATCGCCTCTTCAACACGCATTCCATTTTGAGTATGAGTGTGAAGTTTCTCATAGGGTTGGCCGTTTGCCTGATCGCCCGACTAATGTATACACATTCGAAACTGACCGAAACCAATCATATCCGTCTGCCGCGAGAGTCCAATCAGACCACCATGCCGGACACAGTGGAACTGCCAGCTCACTTCACCGCCGGAAATCTCCGACCGTCGTATGAACTTCCACCAACCGTCTATATCGGAGTCCCTGTACGAAATAAAGCGCACAGTTTACCCTATTTTTTGCACGGTTTGGAAATTCAGGACTATCCGACAGAACGTATGCATTTGTCTTTCATTGTGGACAATTCCATTGATGACAGCCTCCTGGTCTTATCCACCTGGATTGAAGCTGTCCGCTCCAAATATCATGGAATCGAGTTGGAAGTAGGTGAGAACGCGCTAGCAGACATTAAACCGTGGACCGAGGAGCATCATTTGCATTTTGTCCAGATAAGGCAAAAATTGTTGGATGCAGCACGTCTCTCATGGGCCGATTTCTATCTTTCCATTGACGCGGATGTGATGCTTGTGAACCCGGGAACAATTAGTCGGCTCATGGAGGTCAGCCATCATCCAGACTCGGCGGAATTACCTCCCCTATTGCCGGTGATCGCACCACTGCTCAACTGTACCAATTCCGAATTCTATTCAAATTTTTGGGGCGATATCACCGAGCAGGGATATTACAAACGTTCGCCAGACTATTTTGAAATCCAGAAACGACATAAAACGGGGGTGTTCCCGGTGGCTATGGTGCACACAATGTTTGTGATAAATTTGCATCATTTTCTCACCCCGTTGATGCGTTTCTATCCCCCGGCAGATGGTTATGTCGGTCCAATTGATGATTTAATTCTGTTGGCCAAGTCAGCGCAAGCTGCCGGAGTGCAGTACTATTTGGATAATACACAATTCTATGGTTATATCTCCGCTCCGGTAGAAGAGTCCGAAGTGGAAGAGATTGGTTCGTCTATGGAACATTGGATTGCTCGTGATCAGGAACTATTCACACATTTGCGCCTCCAAGCCGTGATTGATCGGGAGGAGTATGCACCAATTCTACCGTCGCCCCATCTGGCACAAATTGCCGAGGCTCATTTGCCCACGCGAAGTAAACTGGGCCTGGATGAGATCTACTATATCAATCTGCTCCGTCGACCGGATCGACGTATGAAGACCGAGTACTTCTTGGATCAGCTTGGTGTTGCCGCACAGCATGTGATCGCAGTAGATGGAAAAGATTTGAACATGAAAAAAATTGAGGATATGGGAATCGCACAACTCAAGGGTTATGCGGATCCGTATCACAAACGATCTCTGAAGTTTGGCGAGATTGGATGTTTCATGAGTCATTACTATTTATGGAAGGTAAGTGTGTGTGTGAAAACTCCACTTAAGGAACTGTAGTGTTGTTTACAAGTACATTTGTTACCAATCTTTGTCTGAACAAAAAATACGAAATTAAAAAAATTGCACGATAACTGTCCGAAATGATTTCATTGTATCTCAATCAGTGCTTACTGCAGAACAAAGGATTATGTATCACGGAAATCTGAGTCATAATGAGAAGGGGGAATATTTGACAAATTACTGTGGTAAAGCCAATGAAGCATGAGGTTCTTTCTGTTCAGCGCAAGATGTTTCCATCATTTGATCCTAATCGCTTCCACAATTCGTAATAAACGTGAGTCTTTGGGCAAATCGGTAATTGTGAATGATTTTTCGTGACGGTCTTGAGTTTATGTTTATAACACTTGCCCCACGGTGGAAGACGCAAGATTTGTATGCATTCGAGTTGTGTTCGGTTGCCGTTGTGTAATATTCAGTGGGCTGAATTCGCACTGAATCCATTTCCGGATATGCTGCGCCTCTTGGTTACGTAACTGTCTCCCCGTTCTAATGATGTAATTGGCTCCGCATCCTCATTCAATATGCTTAAGAACCAAACGTTCTTCGACCTAGGTCATCTCCCTTCATGTTTTTCTCCACTGTCTTTCCACTGATGTAACCGGAATTTTCTTCTGTCCACGTGCTGTATTCCTTTGGTTAAAGTCAAAAGGAGAACCATTCATCATCACTGTGTGTTTATGTATCGTAGCTCACGCTGAGCTTTCTCAGGTGAACATATTTATCTAACTCAACTGGCGAGTGTTTGAACGAATCCATGTTCGTACTGGGTGGGGACATCCGCGTAAATTGATGTGCTGTCTATAGACCATGCTGATCTGGAAGTCTGAGCACTATGTCGAACCATGGTAGTTTGCTGTCAGATTCAACCTTACGAATATGAAACTTTGTGTGTCATTAGATTGGCTTCTCATTGGAGCACCGTGAAATGGGGTTGCTAGGAGGCAATTACACAAGTATGACCCTGAAACTGTCCATGTTCTCTGAGGTTTAACAGCAAACAAAAATTGCGGAATTGATTTTGCAACCAAAAGATAACAAACCGCGAGAACATCAAATGATGCATTATTCTGAAAAAAATAATTAACATGGCAGGCAGATTCATTCAGATGCTCTTACAAAAATAATTTCTCGTACCTAATTTCCTAACTTTCGTACCATTTAGAGGTCTCTTATCAGTTACTCCTCCTTGGATGCAATCCACATCGTCAAGGTAGTTAGNGATAGGTATTTAGCGGTTGACGGGATAGCTGGTTCGGCAATATTTCATCGCAGCCATCTATATATAAACGAACGCAGATTCTCCCAATTTAAAGGGGGTCTGAAAAGCGCAAAAGTTACATGGGAAATTTTAATTTCAACCACTTCTAGCAAATGATTCTGAAAATTCAATCCAGATAATTAAAGAGTAAAACATTAATTTGGTGGAATTTACCCCTGCAAAGCTGTATAATGCAAAAACAAGCCAAGAGAACAGGCTTGTGCAGTTCACTTGGTGCGCATTACACAAGATGTCTCTTTGGAAGAATACCTTTATCCCATAACCCTAGAGACTAATTTTATTAACTTATGAATTAAATACCTTCCTTTCTTGACTGCTTACGAGGATAACCTCAATTGTCAGTTACTAAGTGGTTCACAGATGCAAGCACCACTTACTGCCGTTGTCGTGCATTTTTATCTTCGTCAGGTTAAACATCTGACCAATTTT